TTTTGTCATCATCGGGACCCGATGATGACAAAAACTTGTCGAAACGTTGTACATTTGCTGTCATGTTAAACTTATATTAAAGTTTTTCTTCATTACCCATTTAAGCCGTCTCCAGCCATTATTAGTCTCAAAGTGGGTTCCTCGTCATCGAATCTGTATTATTTGTCGATTACACTTGCCTGTAAAGATAGTTGTGTCATTTCATTATAGACTTCCTATCACACGTTAATAGCTAAATCGGGACTCTTAAAGATGGACAAATATACTGGCGAATTTCTTATAAAATTCAATAGTTATAGAAGCCACACATCCTCTCAATTTTTATTGGCTCATTTCTCTGAAACGCAGTTTTTAGTGAAATTTGATAATAGGAGGCGCTAATAGTAACAATATATAATAATATTTGAAAGAAAAAAACCCAGTAAATACTAAATAATACTCAGAGGTATAGTAAAAAGTTCAGTTAACACCCCATATCACAAACAATTTCGATTTTACAATCACTAGAAGAAATTTCTTCTCTCCTACATCTAGTAAACATCCTACAATCTATTAATTTAAGGGTTATTTGCGTCTACATCAACTAAATGTGAGTATCTTTGTAAATACATGTCTATCGCCAGATGATTGATCTTTAAATGTTTGCCCCTAAAAAGTGTGTGGTTGATTATTTCATTTATAAACTATCGCGAACATCTGAGAACTGTAATTGTTTGCTTAGGGGAGCATAGTTAAATTAACGTTAAGAATAAATAATGAGAAATCATTTATTAAGTAACGATCACCTTTCTTCTTTTTTTTAGGTCCACAAATCAAAACTAAGAAATTTTCAAGCAGATCTCAGAAAACACTATGTCAAAAATAAAAGTGTTTGAATAGAATACAATTAATTAAACAGAATAAATTTTGAATAACGTTTTAGTCCTATGAAAAATGCATTTTCTTATAACTAGCTCAATAACAAGGCGTTATAAAATAAAATACGACTTTTTCTTCTTCTTGACACGATGATCTTGGTCATGTTGAAAATATAGGCGACAATACTCACTCCCGATGTTCAATCAATGTAATGATTCATTCAATCACTTTTGTCAAAGAGTTTAGTATTAGTTTCTTGTAAAGTCGACGTTCTAAGGTGAATTTGTGTCTCTTCGTTCTATTACAGATTACATAACAAACAACAATAGCTAAATTGATGCTAGGTGGGTTCTCTATAGACAACCCTAAAATTTGTTGGCCAGGTCCATCTTTTGCTTCTTTGTGCACAATGTTTAGTCACTAAGTGGCGCCACAATCCACCATTAATTATCAAAAATCCCAATACTAAGAAAAGGTTTGCGCCGTTTCTCATTGCTTTTGAAGAAACGGTAGAAAACATATAGGGAGTGTGTTCAAGTGATGATGGGTGCGAAACTGTAGTCGTTTCCTGAGAATTGTTCCAGGAAATGGAAATGTTACACGTTCCAGGCTCGATGTGCGGGCTCACGTGGCAAGCTTGGTAACAGTGCCCATATTTGCCATAAGCAGAGTTTGGTGAGATAGAAGGAATGTCAGGGATGTTGGGATCTAGAAGAAAGAAAAGAGAATTAAATATTTTTTCTCAATATAGGTTAAAAACTCATTATGGTTATAAGCTAAGTTGAAGTAAAAATGCGGTTAGAGATTGTAAAATGTTCCTGGTAGCTGAATAAAACAACGTAAGTAGGGACTTGACTCCACTAACCTACTGAAAAGACGTAATAGTTTGTTTGGTTTGTTATGAATTTCGCGCAAATCTACACGAGGGCTATCTGCGCTAGCCGTCCCTAATTTAGCAGTGAAAGACTAGAAGGAAGGCAGCTAGTCATCACCACCAACCGCCAACTCTTGGGTTACTATTTTACCAACGAATAGTGGGATTGACCGTTACGTTATAACGCCCCCACGGCTGAAAGGGCGAGCATGTTTGGTGGGATGGGGATTCAAAACCGCGACCCATAGATTGTGAGTCGAGCGTCCTAGCCATCTGGCCATGCCGGGCCGTAAAGACGTAATAAGAGGTGGCACCAATATAATATTTTAGAAATAAAGCAAATAATACTCAGAAGTGTTATGGAGTCCTGAATGCAATGTTCGATGCTTTGTTTGCTTCATCTACAACAAATACATCTAATCTAAGCAAAATATGGCAAACCTTATAATAAAAGTCATGCGTAAATGATACATTGTGACAGGCGACTAACACGTGTTTCCAGTGTAATTCGATCTTCCATCACTGTAGTTGACCGGGCGTGGTCTGGTGCCGTGGAGTGCAAACAGTGGGGAATGGCACAAAGAGTCGGTAGGGGGCGCGCAACTATGACTACAGGAGCATATATTATATCTGAAATTACAAATGTAAAAAAAAAAATTAAATAAATAATGAAGTTTTAAAGGCTAACACACAAATATTATCACTAATAAGTAATATGGTGGCGACAATTAACATGAGGAAAGGACATGCACGCTTATACTCAAACAGATTAAAGTGAGGAACCGTATCAGCGTGAAGGCTGCAAAGGAAAAGAAGAGGTTAATTCCACGCTGAAAAGTAAATAGAAAGAGGGGTTACACAACCGAAACGTTGTGTATTTTACTCTCTTTCTTAATTTTCAACGTGAAATTAACCTCCCGTATACCCAAACGGTTTTGTATTCGAACAGTTTCGTACAAACAGGCAAACATCTTTCCACTCCAGGCATAGGAAATATTATGCATTTTATTTTTGAGTATTGGCTGTTGGTTGTCCAAAACCATTGTGTCTCGCCCTTTAGGGGAAATAATTTGGAATATAGCCCGTAGTCATAGCTACATTCTATGCAAAAAGCAATGTTAATGTTGACTGGATGGTCAAAATATCTTCTTTTTTTTTTTGTTCGTTTACACGATTGTCAGCTTGCTAGTTTTAAGTTTTTGACATTAGTGTGCATTTACTAGTTTGTTAAAAACATGGAAAATTTGGTGTTACACATAGCTAAAATCTGATCTCATTTTTTTTTTCGAGCGACGCCAAATACTGGAAGGGAGAGTTTCAGGGGACGCCATCTTTCTTGTTGATGACTTTTTCACCACAAACAACCTTTCTTGGATTGTGTTGGGGTGTGAACTGATGGGGCAGCTGCCATCTTTCTTGTTGACGACTTTTTCACCACAAACAACCTTTTTTGGATTAATTGTGTTGGGGTGTGAACTGATGGTGCAGCTGCACTTATGGGAAACAAGAAAAGGTTCTTAGCCAGTGTAATTGCTCTTGATCCAGGTCTAACGTTTACACATTGCATCATACGCAGGGAAGCACTAGCTTCAAAGAAATTGCAACTCGGAGCAAATAAGGTGCTACAAAGTTCTGCAATTGTTGTGAACTTTGTAAAACCAAGAGCTTTAAACAGCAGACTGTTTTCCATTCTTTGTGGAGAAATGTGATCTATGTATCCTGCTGCATACAAAGGCGTGATGATGGGAAACATGCCCAGTCGCATTGTGAAGCTGAAAGGTCTCATGGGGAACACACCCAGTCGCATTGTGAAGCTGAAAGGTCTCACGGGGAATACACCCATCGCACTGTGAAGCTGAAAGGTCTCATAGGGAACACACCCAGTCGCATTGTGAAGCTGAAAGGTCTCACGGGGAACACACTCAGTCGCAGTGTGAAGCTGAAAGGTCTCATGGGGAACACACCCAGTCGCATTGTGAAGCTGAAAGGTCTCATGGGGAACACACCCAGTCGCATTGTGAAGCTGAAAGGTCTCATAGGGAACACACCCAGTCGCATTGTGAAGCTGAAAGGTCTCATGGGGAACACACCCAGGCGCATTGTGAAGCTGAAAGGTCTCC